ATTCCTGCGGGGCATGTGGCTTCACAGCAGCATTGCAGGGACAAGCCCACCAGCAGGTAACAACAACCTAATTTTAGATTCACAGGCTCCCAAGCAGGGCTGGGTGTTTTCCTCAGTGGGTAGCAGAGTCACTCCAGAACCCAGGTTCGGCAGGAACTTTGGGCCAGGAAACAACAGAGGGTTGTGAAAGCTGCAAGTTGTCCTTGACTTCTTCCCACAGCTTCCATGAAACGTTTGAGAGAGTGAAAAAAGCAAAGAAGCATTTCTGGTAAATATCAGGTGCTGAGTTAACCTGGGTTCTACTGAGCTCAAAGCAGTGGAGCCATTTTGAGGGGTTTTACTTTCTTTTGTTAGTGTGTTTACAAATTAAAGAAACAAAAACATTTGTCTTGGCAGAACCTGAAACAACCAATTATTTTTTTACTGACTTTGTGGTTGTTTTGGGTTCAGCTACAACACCAAACACTCAGTGCTCAGCAAATTCCTAATGTCAGCACATCTCCAAGGCTGTACATCCAGCAGTTTCTCCTTGCTGCTTTCCTGGGGTCAGGAGGAGGAGGAGCCCAGCTGCCATCAGAAGCAAGAACTGACTCTTGCTCCTGAGACAGGCAGTAAGACCTTCCCTCTGCTGGCTTTTGGGGCAACAACAGATGTCTCTGTCAGCCAAAACTTGCCAAGAGCCCTGATGTTATACTCCCACTTGACAAGACCACCAAGGCTCACCCAAGCAGCCTCAGCTGCTCTTGAGTTCTCCAGACTCCAGAAGGTCTGTCCCACCTGAGTAGCTCTGGGCACTTTTGTTAAGGTCTCTGCCACCACTTTCCTCCCTGACCTGCAAGGACACATCTGTCACAGCCAGTCTGAAGCCCTAGAGGGGTGCAGAACACACCCATTTGGGTGTTCCTGGTTGTTCCTGTCCTTGATGCTGAAGGCAGCTGGCATGGGAAGAAATCACAGCTCTGCTGTAGAGGCCACAGTCTCCCCATCCACCAGGCCCCCTGGCTGTGACACGGTGGTGATGCTCCCCCTTCCATGGGACTTCAAAGGTTTTTATATCTAAAAACAGACTACTAATCTCCTTTTTCCCTTTTTCCTTTCTTCCAGGGGCTTCTTGTCTTGAAACAGTAGCTGAAGGAGAAGGCAATTCCAAGAACCATGATGTCCCTGGGTGTCAGTAAAGGTAATTCCTCTCCCCATCCCAAGCTGCTGGGGATCTGGCCGCTGTCAGGACTTTTCTTTGCTCAGTTCTACTGGAAGGAGCCCTGTGCTCCCTGCTCACCTGCTGACACAGGGAATTCTTGTCCTTTCTCAGCAGCCTTTCCCCTCTCTCCTGTCCCTCTGCCTCCCCAGGCCAGGCCATCCCCCCCACGGATGAGGACCGCAGGAGGATCATCAGGCAGATGAAGGTTCGCACCACCCTGAAGGGAGACAAGAGCTGGATCCACCACCATAACTCAGACTCTGAGGAGGAGAAGAAGAGCAGCCCTCTGTGAGTGTGGCCTTTTCTCCTTTCTCTTTCCATCACCAGCCTCCCACGGGTGCTCTGTCCTCCAGCCTGCAGAAGCAGCACATGTGGTGCTTGCATGTTTCGGGGTCCCTGGGATGCCAGGAGGTGGCACTGCCAAAGGGAAGCAGTGCCCCTGTTTCTTTTTGATAAATGCAGGCTGGGGAGAAGCTCTGAGAAGTGGCCCTTCCTGGGAGCTGGGAATCCAGCAGCACAGGCAGATTTGATGTCCCAGGAGAAGGCCAGAGTTTTTTGTATTGTGTTTCACCATCTCCAGAGTGACAAACCAAGGGGCAGACCTTGGATGGGAGGGAGCTGAAGGGATCAGCCAGCCAGGTCTGCATCTCCCCAGTGTCACACAGCCCCCTGGCCAGGGGACACCACAGTCTGCACCTGCTTCTCTTTAATAAGAGAAAAAAGCAAGCCCCACCTTGGTCTGCTCTTAGCACCTCTCCCTGAAAACACCCCTGCCATGTTCAGCAAGATCCAGGTTAATGGTGTCATTGTGTTCCCTCTGTGCTCAGGTCCAGACAGGCTGGAGGGGGATCCCCAGCCTCAACACCTGCTGCTCCCCAGAGTGACAGGTAATTTTGGGGGCCCATCCTGTTGTTTCCCTTCTGTTATCTCCTGGGGGTCAGTTCACACTTCCCTTGGTGCAGCAGCCCAGGTATCACTTGAGGTCCATTCAGCTGGATTTTAGGCTTGACAGCCACGTCAAGCCTAAATTTGATTCTGGTGCTGCTGCTGTTGTTTCTCCCTGTGTTTCTGACTTCACTGATGTCTGCTCTTTGCACAGGTCTCCTGCCTCCAAGCCTCAACCCGGGTACCTCATCAGGTTGGTACAGAGTGGCTTATGTTTGGGCTGGAGGGGAAGGAGAACTAGATCAGGAGCAACCAGCATGGAAAATATACTGTCTCTGGGGTTCTTCTTAGGTAGGAACATTTTACCAAGCTCAAGGAGGACCTTGGTAAAGGGACAGTCCTGCAAGTTTGGTGGTGGGGCTTCCTCTTCTCTTAGGACTTCCTTCTTCTTCCTGGGCTGATGCCCCCAGAGCCCAGGCAGGTTGGCCAGCCCTGTGACACCATCCCCAGCCCGGGTGCCAGGGGCTTTGCCATGGCCAGGGAGCAGGAGGGTGGGACTTCTCTCAGGATGACTCTTGCAAAGAAGCACCTGCTAATTCTCTGTGTCCTGAGCCAGCACCTTCTTCCTGACAGTTAGGCCCAAGAGTGGCTGCAGGTCTCTCCATGTCAGCTCAAAGATCTGTCCAGCAGAAACACTAACAGGTCTCTCTGCTCCCCAGGGGGGTGTTCACAAGGACCATTGATAAGAGCTCTTCTGTGCCAGATCCTTCACCTTCCAATGGCCAAAAGAGGTAAGGGTCTCTCTTCCTCCTCCTCATGAAAATGAGCTTTTAAACATTGTACACATTTCTACTGACCCTTTGACTTTGGCCAGTACCTGTGGGCTTCCACTGAGCCCCACTGAATCCCTCCTGGCTGCTGGAAGACGTGGCTGTTGGTTTAGCAGACCTGGGAAAAAGACAAGGCATCAAACTCTGTGTCTTCCTCAGCAGGGCAGGAGGGGCAGCTGGCTGGGAAAGGACTCTCAGATTTGGGGTTAACTGGGCAAATAGCTGTGTGTGTGGGATGAATCACAAGGAATCCTTGCAAAGCTGAAACACTCAGGTTTGATCTTTTCAAGGTGGTTGGTTATTTTTGTTAAACCTGCCTTGTAGGACACACGTTTAGATCTCATAAGACCTGAACGTGGCTCCTGTCCAAGCAGGTGTTTTGTTGCTCCTCAAGTTAAACCCTTTGAAAACCCTATTTTTTCCCCCTGTTTTGAGTCATCTGGGGAGAAAGATGATGCCTCAAGGTGTCTTCTCCCTCCTCACTGGTGGGTGCTGGGATGGAGCAGCCCCATCCCACTGCAAGGTCTGCCCATACCAGCTCCTCAACTCACAGTGGCCGTGGGGAAACAAAGTAGATCACAAATCCTAGCCCAGGGCTGTGAAAAGAAGAGAAAAATAGCATTAAATAGCATTCCCTGAATTCAGAAAGTGGAGATTTGGGATCATCCTGTTTTCTCAGCTGGGGAAGAGGGTGGCGAAGGGGGAGAGTGCAGGAGGGTCCTGTTAACAGCTGTGATCTGCCTGCAGCACTGCCACCAAGGGGCTCAGGTCCTCCTCTGGATACAGGATGACCACTGAGGACTACAAGAAACTGTGAGTGTGCCCATGGGAGCAGCATGTTCTGCCTGCACGGGCTCAGCAGCACCTGAGCCTCAGGGATGAGGACACAGCCAGGAATGGCTGAGCTCTGCAGAGCTGGAAACTGGAGCAGTTCCTGGTGCTGCCTCCAGGGCTGCGTGGGTCACAAGGCTTTCCTGAACCTGGTGATGGCCTTGGTATGGGGTGGTTTTATCACTTGGCAGCAGTTGAGGTGGACTCAGTTTGCTGCACTGGTGGCCTTCCTGAAAGCAGGAGGAGAAAGGAGGGGGCTTGTGGCAGAACAGCACTGCTGACTCTCCCTGCTCAGCTTTTTGGGCCAGACTGGGGCTGAGTGTTTATTAAGAACCAGCCTCTAGGCTTGACCCTGTACTAAGAAAACAAAACCCTCTGGGGATACATGCATGAAAAATACAAGGGTCTTCCACACTCATGTGCAACACAGCCAGGGCCTGAACCCATTCCCAGTGCCCTGCCCTTGGATTTGCCTTCAGCTCTGCCTGTGCTGCCTCAACAGTCCAAGAGCAGTTCCCTTACCCTGGCTCTCCCCTTTCTGCTTCAGAGCTCCATACAATGTCAGGCAAAAATCAGTGGACTTGGAAGAGGAGGATGCACCTTTTTCTCCAGATGAGCACAAAAAGAGGTAAGCCCTCCAGGTGACCACCTCTTTCTTGCAGGGGCAGTGGCAAGTGGACTGACTTCAGCTGAACTGCTGACTCCTGGGAGGGTCAGTTTGGTGATGGTAGCTGAGCCATTAGGGCTGATGGCAGTAAAATACTGCTAAGCAGAGAGTTCTGCACAGGCCACGTTTTGCCCACAGGCTGCTGCACTCCCAACGAAGTGTAATTAAAAGCCTGACATGATTCAACCTGACAGCATTCCCCAATTAGTTGGGCAGCTGGGAAGGGTTTGTGGAATCTGCAGAGTGTCTGTGAGAAAAGATGGGGAGGCAGGAGGAGCCTGGCACAGCAGGAGGAGCCCACACCCACCTGTGCATCTTGAGTCTGGACCACCTGGGCACTTGCATCCAGATCCAGGCAGGTCTCTTGTGCTCATACCAGGAGTAGAATGTGTCTCTTCTGTGTGGCAGAACCTCCATCTGATGCCTTCAGTCAAGTTTCTGAAGGTACTTTTCCTCAGACACAAGACCTTTACAAATGAAGACTTGGTGACTGGGGGATGCACCAGTCCAAGTCCTTGCAGAGATCTGCCCAGCTAGCCCAGCTAGCACATCAGCCACAAAGCCTGGGCCCCATTTTATTGCCCTGTGGTGTGCAACGTTGCAACAGTCCAGGCCCCAGAACTGGGGAAAGCCTCCAAGAGCCTTGGGAATTCTTCCTTGCTGAGAGGGGGGAAATTTCAGGAAGAGAAAAACCATGACAGTCTCCAGTTGCCCCAGGCCTGCAATCAAGAGCTCAGATTTCAGAATCAGCTCTGAATGCTGCTCTGTTCCATAAGCTTTGTTCCATAGGAAGGGGAGATCAGAACAAAGACCCCCCCCTTTCCCTCTGCCCTCCTGGATGAGTAAGTTTTGGGGTTTTTTTCAGCTTGAGTGAGACTAAAGAGAAAGATAACACATTGTTGCCCCTGGGGTTTCTGCTCCCCAGAGAAGGGAGCTCCAGCAGGGCTGGCACCAGCCTGCACTGGGTGCTTCTCCAGGGCTGCAGGCCCTGCTGTGACAGCAGGAGCAGGATGTGACCCCTTCCCTCCCTTCCAGGACAGAGGCAGCCAACAGTGTCCTGAGGAGCACGGCCAGCAGGGAACGGGCTTATGTCCTCTCAGCAGCCAAGAAAAGCAACGGGTGAGGCTGCTTCCTGCTCGGGGAAGCTTCTTTACTCCACATGTTATCACTGGCTGCTCCTCCCAGGTTCATTTCCTCTGCTCTGCAATTTGCACAGGTGTAACACACCAGGTCCCCTGGCTCTGCCCAAGTGGCCTTTCCTGAGCCTCTCATGCCTTGCACCACATGGGGCAACAACCAGGGGCTCTGGGGGAGCTGCCCCTGCCCAAGGTGTGTCTTTACCTCCCACCTTCTAACTGCTGCATTTGTGCTTCCTTTCCAGCAGCCCAACACAAGACTTTCCACCCTTGTTTGCCAAGAGGTAGGTCAGTGAGCCTCTGAAGGGCACCTGTGAGCTGCCCCAGGGCTGCAGGCACATGCTGGGATGGGAGGTCCCCAGGTGGTGGAAAGCAGAGGAGGAGGGGACACTTCCCTGAAGGGATGCTTTGGGCTGGGTCATGCTGGGTTTTGAGGGCCCCTAGTGTTGTGAACACCAAGAATACAGGACTGAGGATGCTTTGGGTTGTGGGCAACCTGAAACAATCATAGAATCATTAAGGTTGGAAAAGAGCTCTAAGATCATCAAGTCCAACTAACAAGGAGAGACTCATTCATCTGCTTTTCTTCTTCCAGGGGAGGCTGGTTACTGCCAGCAGGGTGAATCCTCTTCAGGCATTTACCTTCCAGAGCAGATGGGGTTACAGGAAAATGATGTAGGGTGCTCTCTGGAATCTCAGCATTCAGCTGATGCTGTTGGTAAAGCTACAGCAAAATGCCAGAGAGGAGGGCTGAAGGTCTGGCAGCCCTTGGGCAGCTGAGCAGGGCAGAGGGAGCATGAGGAGCAGGAAGAAGCTGCCCCGAGGGGAAACAGAGGGAAAACACAGCTTAAGGGAAAGCTGCCTGGCTTAGCTAGCAGTGGGGAGTAGGAATCTGTCATGTTTGTCTCTCTTTCTGCCTTTTGAAAGAATTGAGATAGAAGAAGAGGAAGGACAGCAGAGGAGGAGTCCGACTGTGTCTGGTTCATGCAGGTTTACACCAGATGACAACAGGTATTTACCTCACCCTGGGGTGATGTGTTGACTGTCTTTGGTTTTAGGGCACTCTAGTTTGCCATCTCTGCAGATCACTGCACTTACCTGCAAGGCAGCAGCTCTGAGCACAGCTGGGGAGGAAGGGCTTTCCAGTCCTTCCCAGCAAACCCGGGTTGCCCACTGCTTGGGAAGAGGGAAAGACGCAACATGAAACCTGAGGTTGGCTGCCTGCTGAAACAAGTGGGCAGGCATGGGGACAGGGCCAGAGTGTCACAAAGCACCCAGCTGGCAGCCCTGGAGGCTGACAAACTGCATTTTAACTCCAGCCCAGCTCTCCTGGAGCCGTGTGGTGTGAACCTGCCCGAGCCCCTCTCCCCAGCGCGCCCCGTCCTCCCGGGCTGGCCCAGGAATGAGCCTGGCAGCTCTGCTGGAGAGGCAGCTCACAGGAGGAGCTGGAGCAGGCTCAGATGAGCTCACTACCCACCAAGCAGCCACCAGATAGTGATGATCTTCTCTTACTAGCAGACTTGGCTGAGTGAACTGCCCCCCTCACCTGGACACAAAATCCTCAATGTCCCATCGCTCCCAGCCCCCTGAGCCAGCTCTGCTTTTGTTAGACTGTAGATGTAATTATTCTGCTGTGATAGCAATAGGTAGGTGTGACCAGAGAGGTTTGAGAGCTTCATTATCTTTAAATTGACCTTTGCTTTGATGGGAGATGTTAGCCTCATTGTGAGCCCCCAGCCCCTCTTACAAAGCCCAAGGGTAAGTGGAGCCACAGCTGGAGTGACCAGGTGGGATGTGAGACCTGGGGACAGGCTGCCTCTGGTGTAAAGGCACATCAGAGACACCCTCCCCAGGCCCACACTGGTCAGGAACTGCTGGCACGTGGTGTGGGGCTGAGTGAGACCACCAGGATGCAGAAATGTTTGGCTGAAATGGAAATGTTTGTCCTAGGAAGGAAAATCCACCTCTGTTTTCAAGCAGATTTGTTTAATTTGGGATTCGGGTCTCCAGCCCTGCTCTGAGGGGGGGCTTGATGCCAGGCAGCAGCATGATTAGCTTCCCTGCCACTCTGGTCCTCACTGGGCCCAGCAGGGAGTCCAATAGATGAGGCCTCTCAGCCCAAAGTGCTTTTATTTTCAGGACAAAGAAGCCGCCTGATGAATTTTGGTAGCACTTTTGAGCCATTGTGGTGCAGGTTTGAGGAGTTCCCCTCCCTTCCTTACACATTACACACGTGCACATAGTGAAATCCTTTTATGAATGCACCCAGCTTCAACCTGCACATCTGGGGAGGCTGGTTCTTACTGCAGACTCAGACACTGGGGACAGAAGCAGCTCCAGCTGTTAAACAGAAACAGTTTCTGAACACAGTATTTCAGCAGAAAGGCAGAACCTGGCCCCTTCAGTGCAACCAGAAAGCAGGACGTGTCCCCCCATAGGAGAAGGCACCTAAAATATCTTCTGTCTTTAATGCCTTGTTACTTGTGGGTTTTTTTTGTCAGTACTAATGGGCTAAGAAAAAACACCTCTGGGTCGTCCTGGAATGAGCCAAAGGCAACAGCAGCATCTCCCTCCAGGTGAGCGTTGCAGCACAGCCAGGATGCCTTGCACATCCTCTGCAGCTCCATCAGCCCACACATGGGTCAGAGGCTTCAGTGGGGTCCCCTCTGGGGGGGAAATGAAGCAAATTTGCCAGCCTTGTATGTGGGAGACCCCCCTTAGATGCAGCAGCTGTTCCAAGAAGGACTTTCTGTCTAAAGCCAAGGTGTCTCCTGCTGGGATCTGAACATCCTGGTAGAAGTGCTCAACACCTGCCAGGCACAAAACCAAACAGGCTGAACTCCTTATCAACAAATATGTATAGAGGAATAATTTTCAGTTGCCTTTATCTCTCTGAATTCCTGACTATAATGTAACAAACACTGGCAGGGTTTTCCACAGCCCTGAGAACAGCTTGTTGGTTACTGACCTTGTTCTGTGCTCATTGGCAGGAGGTTCCTGGCAATATCAGTGGTTTTAATTTAAAATTTGCTTCTGATAACAGGGCTTTGTTAGTGAATGTACTGAAAACCATGAGGTTTGTTTTCTGTTTTGTCTCTCCACAGAAAGGAGCACTTCTGAGCAGGCCAGTTCTGCCCAGCTGCAGCAGGGAGCTGCTCTGCTCAGCACTCACAGCCTTTTCTAATTTGCCTTCTCTTGCAGCCCTGAAACAGGCAGCAGGAGCCAAACCACCACATCCCTGAGCACATCTTCAGAGAGAATCTCCACTTCTACTGAGACCAGGTGGGTCTGTTGTCCCTGCCCCATCCTGGAGCTCCAGGAAGGACAGCAGGGGGGAGGCTGCACCGCAGCGTTTGGCTCCGGGTGTATTTTCCCAGCTACACGTGGTTGTTCTGGACTCAGTGCAATCATCAACAATAAATACAATGGCACAGGGAATCCAAGAAAGCAGCACTTTGCAAAAGCATTAGCAATCTGGGAGGAAACACTCCCAGATGGAAGCTGTGGGCCTCCCACAGCCTGGACATGACTCAGTCCTTTCTGATGAGAATATGAGTCCAAATCTGCTGCCCTGTCTCCTAAACCCCTCAGGCTTTGATTTTAAACCAGCCCCTGCTCTGCACCTAGCACCCTTGCAACAAGTGCTGTGCAGTGCCTGGGCCTCACCCTGTGTCCCCCACCTCCCTGCCTAATTGTTCTTGCTGTTTTCCTTGCAGAAATGGTGACAGCAGAGCAGCCCCCAGCAGGAGAGCCTCGTCTGAGACGGTGTCACTGCATGGGGACGGGTAAGAAGCTGCCCAAGGCTGATCTGTGCTGTGAGCACGAGGTGTGACCCTGCTCTGAGCTCAGGAATAGTGTCTACCTGGGCTCCAACAGATGGCATCTCTCCAGTCTTGGTCCTGGGCTGCTCTCCAAGAGCATCATCTGCTGGCGAGGCTGCAACTCGCCAGTTTGCTCTGCTCTTCCTTTGCCTCCCTCGAGGATTCTCCTCCCTGGCTCAGTCCCTGAGGAGTCTGCTCCATGTATTTTTCTTGCTTTTTGCTGCTCCAATTGCCCTCCCACTGCCATTCCCTGGGGAGTTTCTTTCACCTACAAGGGATGTGTGGAACCTCAGTTGCTTAAGGTTGATTCTGGCCTCCTGCACCCTGTAGGGAGCTTGAGGGGGTGCTGGAGCAATGGGCATGTGTAAAAAACTGATGTGTGGAGTTAATGAAAGAGAGAGGTTTCATTAACCTAAGGAAGAAGGAACTGATTTGGAACCTGAAGGCAGTACAGGTGCTGGACACATGAAAGGGCAGAGCTGTGACTCTGTGAGACAAGGAACTTGCAGCTGAGGGCCAGGAAGCTGCTAAGAGAGAGATCACTCCCTCCTTGTATGCTTATGTCCAATGGTCTCCATCCTCTGCACACAGGAGGACTTCAGATTTTTAAAATCTGCCCCATGTCAGGAGGTCTCTTTGTGAGCTGCAGCTTCTGGGCTGTGTCCAGGCTGGAGCAGGCAGAGTTGCACGTGTGGCCATGGTTGTGCAAACAGCTGCAGGAGGTTTGGGTTCACCAGAGGAGTTTCTGCAGCTTGCTCTCCACCTGCTCCAGTGAAGATCAGGCTAGAAATATTCCCAAAATGATATCTTAGGCTGAAGGGCTTGAGGAAAGGTAGAGGCTGGGCTATTGTCATGGTCGTTCAACTGAGGCCCATAAATATACCCTTGTGTGTCACTGCAGGGCCAGCCTGGTTACAAGGCACTCATTGTGCTCGGGGTCACTTGGGCCATGTGGCTGCTGCTCATGGTGAGCCAGCCTCCCAGGGAAAGCAGAGGATGCCTCATTACTTCAGCCACCTAAAATTGGAGAGGGAGTAATTGGCAGGGAAGGAAGGAGAAAGATAACACAGCTTGACAGGTCCAGGAGAGTGAAAGATGGGGGGTAGGGCCTGTAGGAAGACCTTTCTGGCCCATCAGCAGGGAGGGTTCCAGCAAGGGGTGGGCAGAGCCTCAGTGCAGGGGGGACAGCTCTGAGCCCCCCGTGAGCTGCAGCCAGGACCACTGTGCTCAGGTTGGCCCTCCCTGTCCTGACAGACTGAATTCATCCCATTTCCTGCTCCTTCTGCCTCCCTGCTGGCATGAGACAAGGGAAGGGCTGTCACCTCCTCTCTCACTGGCATTTCCCTCTTTCTGATGACAAACCTCTCAAGGAAAAGCCTGAGCCTGAGCTGTTCCCGTGGGATGGACTGGCTCCCAGAGCAGCTGTGGTCTCCAGGAATGGAAGGTAGAGTTAGTGTGAGATTCCTTGCCTGGCCTGAGCCTTCTGCAGACCATCAGCTGCTGGGAGCTGGGAGTGGGGCTTCACTGCTGGAGCAGCTTTGCTGAGCTGCAGCAGTTCCTGTAGAGTTTTATTGAAGGAAGGGGAGGAAAGGAAGCACTGCCCTCTTGAATAAAATCCATGGATATTTTTTCCAGGTTTATTCCTTAGTTTCTACAATACAAAAAAACCCACAACCACCAAGCACTTCTGCAGGTCATTTCTGCATTTCCCAGGTTTATTCCCAAATGCAAACCAATTCTGGAATGTAATTATTATAATTCCTTTTTACAGTCTAGACAGGTTCACACTCAATGTATCTCTAGGCCTTCAGCCTCCATGTACCTGTCTAATTTTGCAACAAGAGACCTCCTATAAAACCCTCAAGCCCCAGATCCCACCGAAGGCCATGGAAGGAACTGGGGTCCTGGCTGCTCCCCAGCAGCACGTGGGGACCTGTGGCAGCTCCCCAAGGGGGTCTTCAGCCTCCCTGGGAAGAAATGAGAGGTTCCCAAGCCAAGGCAGGTGACCAGGTGCAGTGGCTGTGGCTCTGTGC